CATTCAGTTTTGGTTCACTGATTCTCCCTCCAACCCAAACATTGAGTTTGGAATGTCATCTTTCCAGAGTCCAGTAATTTGGTAGATTTTTAAAATTCTTAATATGAGTACATCCAACTTAAAAGAAATAAGAACCGTCTTGTTCAGGAGCAGAGGCTGATGAAATGACAGTTATAGCATTGGTGTTTGTCAAGTATAGAAAGTAGTGTTCAGTTTGCTTGTTCTCAAATGTTCAACTATGTGTGCTTTGCAGATTGAACAAGAAAAATTGGCATCTATGAAAAAGCAAGATGAAGACAAAGATAAGAGGGATAAGGAAGAAAAAGAAAGCAGCAGAGAAAAAAGGGAGAGATCTCGGAGCCCAAGAAGGTATTATTCAGTAGTTGTATAGCTGATGTTTTACTGGTATTTTAGATCTTAAGGAATTCTGTGTGTAGAAACTTCCACAATTAAAAAGGAATCTAGTGGCATGATTCAGGGAATTTCCATCAAATAGTTTACATAGTGAGCTATGGCTTGCCTCTGGACTAAAGAAATCTTTCACCTTTATTTGAGGCAGATCATTTGACTATAGTTGTCTCTAAAATCTTGGTGAGTTATCCCACTTTTAATTCCTTTTTTTAAAATTAAATGCTAATCTCTGTATCATTCTAATTTTAGCATATGTGTTGCTGAAGCGAACACTCAACTCTTAATTCCTAAATCAAAATCTAGACTTCTTCTGGATTGCTTTAGTTTAAATATAACAACTAATTGAGTTTTTAAAAATAAACTGACTCTATTTTTTCTTTCCATTTCCTTTTTTTTTTTTTTTAATCTGTACTCAAAAGCTGTGCTTATTAGCCATTCATGTTATACTTACCTAATTCCCTGTTCTGCTTTTCTTAGATGGTCATATTGAACCCACACTTCAGATCATTTATTTCTTCTAACTTCTGATGAAACTGTTGTTAGGTTCACATTCTTAAATCCACATCTCAATTTCTGCTATATTTTTGGTAAAAGGTGAGAATTCCCTTAGGCTTTTCATTTTTAGGTTCTGTTTCATACATATATGTCTGTTGGAATTACTAAAGGGAAGTGGTAATTTCTTTGTCTCATTCATTTATATATTTGGTAGTAAAACATACTTCTCATGGAAGCAGTACTTCTAGAGTTAAGTACAAATCATAGTGGTAACTACTTGACTATTGATGAACTAGGTCTGCTATTTTCCTTCACTATGAATAAGAAAAAACCTTAGCCTGTTGCAGTGGCCTATGCCTGTAATCCTAGCACTCTGGAAGGCCGAGGTGGGAGGATCACTTGAGGTCAGGAGTTTGAGACCAGCCTGAGCAAGAGTTGAGACCACATCTTTATTTAAAATAGAAAAAATTAGCCAGGTGTGGTCATGCGCATTTGTAGTCCCAGCTACTCAGGAGGTTGAGGCAGGAGGATCACTTGAGCCCAGGAGTTTGAGGTTACTGTGAGCTAGGCTGACGCCATGGCACTCTAGCCTAGGCAACAGAGTAAGACTGTCTCAAAAAAAGAAAAAGGGGGAAAAAAGAAAAACAAACTTAGAGTTAGGGAAGCTACTATTAAAAAGGAAAAGGGGCTTCTCTTCCAAAAAAGTTGTCTTATGCAAGTTTGATATATTTTTCTTTTATTCTGAAGAACATATTCCTTTAATCACACTAGTCACTTTTCTGGCACATTTGGGCTCTTTCTGATGAACTCTGGTGTGATCTGTCTGCATTTAAATGTTGTATTTTGCTTGCTTTGGTTTATTGTCAGGGAATATCACTTTACTTTTAAGCACCCTCTTTTCCTCAGAAAAATTGGTCTTTGAATGATCTCTGGGAATGATTAAGAACCTAAGCCTAGAGTCCCAAGTTAGTGCTTTCTTCCCTTATAACTGATACACTTGAGAATGTTATCTTTCATTTGTTTGCTTTTCTGTTTTTCCCTTGGCCCCTTCTATCAAGTACATGAGCTAGGATATCTTATTTTCATAGAGAAATGTCTCATATAAACAACAGTAGTATAACTAAGATTAAGTCTCAAATTCTCCCTTTAATCCTCTCCCCCAATCCACGTTATTCAAAAACCTGAAAAAAATTGCTTTCATCCTAGACGCAAATCCAGATCTCCTTCCCCTAGAAGACGATCTTCCCCTGTCAGGAGAGAGAGAAAGCGCAGTCATTCTCGATCTCCCCGTCACAGAACCAAGAGCCGGAGTCCTTCCCCTGCTCCAGAAAAGAAGGAAAAAACTCCAGAGCTCCCAGAACCTTCAATAAAAGTAAAAGAACCTTCAGTACAAGAGGCCACTTCTACTAGGCAAGTGCATGATAGTTCATTTATACATAGTCAAAATTTGAGACTTAATAGTGTCTGCAAATAATGGCATCTCTGAGTTAAAAACATAGTCATTTTTCTTTTAAATGTTTTAAATTATAAAATTGTTGAAAAGAAATTGAAATTGTATAGGGAGAGTATGTTTAAGGAAAATGCCCCAACTATCTGTTGGTTGTGCTGTTTCAGGTATTTTATATATTGCAACTTGCTTTTTTCTCAGTACATTATGGATGACTTTGCACTTTTAAAAAATTATACATAACCTTAACACTTATACCCCCATAATACGCTAAAATAAAAAAATAAATAAAATAAAATGTAAGTGGTTAGAATTGTTAGTGGCTTACTGGATTTCACTGTTACATACGTATTTTTTGGAGCTAGAGAGAAGTCTTCATGGATTTTGAGAGCTCTTTAAAGAGAAAATATTGTGTTACATCATTGTGTTAAGACTGACTTGGAAGTATGAGTAGAAGAGGGGGAAAAAATGAGCTTTTGTTTCCACAGTGACATCCTGAAAGTTCCCAAGCCTGAACCTATACCAGAGCCTAAAGAACCTTCTCCAGAGAAAAATTCCAAAAAAGAAAAGGAAAAGGAGAAGACTCGACCAAGATCTCGGTCACGTTCCAAATCAAGATCCCGGACAAGATCTCGCTCTCCTTCTCATACTCGACCTAGACGGCGCCATAGATCTCGGTCAAGGTGGGTTGTAACTTTAGGATCAGCATAGACCTTAGATTTTATGTGGAACTTGCCTAGGTAGAATTATGTAAATAATTTCAAAGCAGTAGAAAAATGTTTAGTTTACAAATGTTTTGTTTGGATTTACATAGAATTCGACAATACTTTTTCTGTGTACCATAAAAATCTCTGAAAAGGACCTGAATAAACCAGGAGTGAGGAACTTCTTGATTTAGTTTTTTCAGTGGCCACATTTTAAAAACAAATTAATGAATTTCAAAGATCACGATTTTCCAAATTCTGTTTGTTATGGCAGGTCATACTCACCTAGAAGGCGCCCAAGCCCAAGAAGGCGCCCATCTCCTCGAAGAAGAACTCCACCAAGACGAATGCCGCCTCCACCAAGGCACAGAAGGAGTAGATCTCCAGTAAGACGGTGAGATTTTTCTTTTTTTTAAAATGTGGAAGCGTCAAGTGTTTGACACTGGAATCATGTTTGTTTGGGGATAATTCTAGAATAATCTTTAATGTCCCCCTGGAAGAAAGAACTTAAATAGATGATACTAGATAATGTCTTCTAAATATCCTATTTCATTTGAAGTGTAATGCTGTTGTTTGTGCTATGAAAAATGTCTAGTCCAGTGTTGGAAAATAAAGAATAAGAAATTCACCATTTTATTGATACTTTGTGTTAACTTACCCTTTCAGACCTCAGGAAGAAATCCTATCAAGTAAGGGAATTGGCCACTTTCCCTTTGGCTTTTAACTTTTAACTGGCTTCTGAAAAATAGCTGACTACAGGGCCATTGAGCTACTTTTACCAGTATTAAAATAATTCATTTGCTCTTATACTTTATTTTTCTTAATGGGGTCTTTTCTCTTTATAGAAGTAATAAGGCTTATAAACAATTATATACTTGATCTCAGCCAAAATGCCAAGAAGGGATGGCTTATAATTCTAACATAAGTAACATGAATTGAAAATTTCTTATAATCTCATTCCATAGATATTAGCAGTTTGGTGTCTAGTTATTTTTGAAGAAATTAGCATAAATCTAACCCTGCTAGTACCAGTGTTCTGTTCTTTAAATCATTCTAAAGTGAGCATAAGGTAAAATAGTTACCTCTTGGATATATGGTTTTTAACAAAAATATTGTGACTAAATCTGTCCAAAGTCGAGGTCTGATAACAGAGTCTTTGTGCTTTATTGACGATATACTTTGCTTGTATTTAAAAGAAACTATGATAATCAAGCTTCCAGTTATACTTTGGACAGAATTTTCTGTGTTTGAGTCTTTTAAGGTTTTTTCAGGGAACTGAATCAACTTAGAAATAAATTAAAGAAGGGAAACATCAGATAAACTCCATAAAGTTATTTTGTTTCTGCAGTCAGGTTTTTAGAGTCCCCATACTTTAAAAAAAAAAAGAAATACTGTTTTCCTTTGGGGAGGAGTTGTCAGGGTATATTGAGCTGCTTACTACTACCACTATTAGAAATTATAGAATTGATGTTACTACTGTTAGGAGAGGAATGAGGTAAAAGGTTAGTCAACTCAGCATCACACTTTTCTAAAATTGATTATTCCTCCTTAGGAGAAAAGTAATGCTGATGCTTTGTAGTACAAAATTAGTGGAAACAGCTATTTCTTATATTGGAGTTTTGCAAACAGCATGTTTTAGTTGTGCTTACTAAGCCATTTAGCAGTCAAAATATTTTGAAGATTGTGTAAGATTCCCTTTCAGCCAGTTTTTATTTCACACTTAAGGTAGGGTTTCTTTTTTTCAGGTTCTCAGGAATTCTTCCGCCAAAGGTGAATTCTGCAGGTACACATAATTGCAACAGAACTTACCACACATTTTGCCGCAGAATTCGAGAGGCCCCTGCTTCTAAGTTTATGTAGCTAAATGAATCCCTAATCTCGCACAGCTTTTTAAAAAAATGCAACCTGAAGATTTCTTGACATTGTGTTATTAAATGAACAATATTATGTCACCCAAATTTTGTATGCAAACTCCAAATCACCAATATCATGCTAAAGGAAAAAGGAGACGGGTTGGTCATTGTATTATAGCATTCAACCTGACAAGTTTTTAACTGGAGAGACAAACAGAAACATTTTTCAGATTTAAGTTATTTATAGTTAGTCTTACAATTAGCTGTTTCCTGTACTAGGTTATGGTTTTGTTTTCCATTTTTTTGGACTCATTTATGTGCTTAGCTACATAAACTCAAAAGTTGGATTAAAATAGCTGTATTTTCATGTAAACTGTTCATACCTGTAAGGTCATTTCTTTATTGTAAGTATGCAATTAGTGAATATGAATACTTTATTCCACAGAAGAAGGCGTTCATCAGCATCTTTGTCTGGGAGTAGCTCATCATCCTCTTCATCTCGTTCCCGGTCACCGCCAAAGAAGCCTCCCAAGAGGACATCCAGCCCCCCTCGAAAAACTCGTAGGTTATCTCCTTCAGCAAGTCCTCCAAGGCGAAGGCACAGGCCATCACCTCCTGCATCTCCACCACCAAAAACTCGGCATTCCCCGACACCCCAGCAATCAAATCGTACCAGAAAAAGTCGTGTTTCTGTGTCTCCAGGGAGAACTTCAGGTAAAGGTAAAAATCAAACACATGAAAATATATGTTCTTTCTTTTTTGGCTACAAAGAGCAATATTGTCAGTTGTCTCCCCCTTCCTACTCTCCAAGTATGAAATCGAGTTTACATGTAAAGTCACTTTGTTTTTAGCAGTGCCTTCTGGCATTGAGCAGGTAGATAAATACATTGTCAGCTGTGGGCTGTTTGAGCTGGGGTAACGTATCAAAGTTTGTGTTGTCATGATAAAGGATCATTTTATTACTATGAGACCAGTTAACTTTTTTCCCCTGAAGATTTTTTGGTGTGATATCTTATTTGAGGACTTCATATTCTGCTTTAATTCTTTCTTGGCCACATTGTGCTCCCAAGGGAAGGACATGGTGTCCTCTTAAAAGCTGATTTGTTTTTTTAATTTAGGCTCTAGGCAGGGTTCTTCTGAGTATTGTCCTTGCTTTATTCTGCAGATTGATTTCTGAGGAATTTATGATCTGTGATCCTGCCAGGCAAGTAGAATGCTGTGCTAGTCTGAGTTAAGGTTGTGGTCTATTGGGGTTTGTCCTTTTAGCATTAAATACACATGGAGAAAACTGTAGGATCCATTTGAATCGGGCCTTTGGTGCTTAGGGCTGAAGTGATATACAGCCTGAAAGGTAAGTAGTAGGGGAGGGAGATGACCTTAAAAGCTACTGTAGCAACTGGATTTTAAAGAGCAATCATGCTGGGGTTGTTCTGAGTACATTGAAAGTTTCAGGTTAGAGCTGGATGTGGTAATGTGGGCCTGTAGGCCCACCTAGTTGGGAGGCTGAGCTGAGAGAATCACTTGAGCCTAGTTAGGGCCAGCCTAGGCAACATATTGTGAGACCCTGTCTCTGAAAAAAAGAAAATTTTCTGGTTAGAAATAAATGGGGATGGGCAAAATTTTCACCGTATATTTTAATGAGCTTAATGAGACCCGGATTTCTAATCAGCCACCCTGCTACTTTGTCTCCCCACACAACCCACGCTGCAATGTGGTGATGTCCAGAAAGGCAAATTTTACTTTATTTGGGGGGGGGGGTCTGTTATAGTGAGATATAGGTAAGCTGTCAGAGTACAAGGAGGACCAGTAGATAATAGTAACTTCTAAAAAGTAATGTTTAGATTAGTTTTGAATTTTAACATTAATTTGGCGATACATAAAAAAATAAGATGTAGTCATTTAGACCTAGACGGGCAGCAGAATGAGAACAGAGAAACCTTTTAATTGTCCGTTCAGACTTAAGTATGGGAGAGGGCCTCAGATCACTATTTTCGGAACCTCATGCACCATATTAATTACTCTTTGTTCAAAATTGGGAGATTTTCAGTCACCATGTCCAAATCTAATGCTCGTTGTTCTGACCTATTTTGTATTTTCCTTTGAAGATGGTGCTTCTGAATATTTTGGAGCTAGAAAGCTTTGTAGGGAAAAAATATTATTATAAATATTCCTACCAGATACTTTGCAAAAACGCATCCAGTTATTTCTCTATTTACATCATATAGCCAAAGAGTTACAAAAGTACCAGAACAGCAGGTCTAAATAAGTCTAGAAGAATTATTAGTTACCTTTTTTAAAAGAGTCTACACAGGTGCTAACCCCTTGTGTTTTGGGATATGCTTTTTGTAAATAAAACACAGTGGATATGTACATAGGAGAGAAATAAGTTGTGATGGAAGACTAGTTGTATTCTTATGGGTTTAGGGACAGGGCTTCCATGTCCAGACAGATCCCAACCAAAGAGAGACACTCTGGGCAGTATAGTCAGAGGCTGCCTTGTGTCTGCTGAAGCTGAATAATTGATTTGAGCTACTTGGAAATAACCTTTTATATTAAATGATCCCAGTCCTCTGTGATGAAATTTCAGGGATAGAAAAGACCGTAGCAATTGTTATCAAGACATAGATTTTTAGGTTAAGTGACTTGGTCAAGATCAACCAGGAATAGGATTTTAAGAGTTCTTATTGCTTTCTAGTTAAATGATACTTTTCCTAACTTTCCTACCCCCAGATTCCTCTTTGATTGCCAAAGGAGGGAAATGGAGGACAGGGTGAAATTCTTTAGTTTCTGTACCTGGTAGTACGATTTTAGAAATTCCTTCTTTGCAGTTTCTACAGCTAATAAGAGCAGTATCACTGAAATGTAGTAGATTTTTGTGTTTCATGTAGTTACCGATGATCAGGGCTTTAGGGCTTTGCTATTGATAGTGGGCAAATGAAGCAGGAGGGAGACAGGCAAAGAGTTCTGGGGAACTTAAGGGTGAATTATTTGAAGAGATCTTAGGGAAAACATTTTGTAATCATTGGCATGTCATGGCTAAATTGGCATATCTCAGTAATACGTAAAATACTGCTTTGAAATCAGTGGCACATTCAGTGGACTATGTTAATGTATATATACCTATAGTGGTGGCAATTTTGATTTATTTAGATTAGCTTCGTCATGTAAATTGTGCTCTGTAGACACTTAATGGTTAGTTTGCTATTTCTGATCACAGAGTGACTTTATCTTTACAAGTGATCTTTTGGGCAAGTCTGGGAGATTAATAATTAACAGGAATGTTGCAGTAATTTTTAAATTCTGGTCTTAGAGTTGCCTTAGATTTCTGACTTAATGCTAGAATGATTTTGCCCCTTGCATACTTAACATTGACATAACAAAGTAAACAGTATAAAATCTCATGTAGACAAACAAATCTGAAACATTATTACCGTTATTTGTAATGTTAATAATGCTGTGATTCAGTTTTATTAAAATAGAATAAGGAGTAAATGGATACTTTTCTGTTGGTATAAATGTATTAATAAAGACTTTCATCTAGGTCATTAAATGAGAGATTGAATTAGGACACAATTCCAAATGTGTATTTCCATTGGAAAGAAATGTAGATAATGTTACAGTTCAGTTGTATTATTTACTAAGTAGGCGTTTGCCAATTATCTTGGAAGCATAACCACATTTTTAGTGTTTCTTAGGGGGAAAATGTATTCTGACATCCCAACAACTAGCTTTCAAAACAAGTTTTAAAACTCAGTTCTCCAAGGTGATAACTTGGATATGTGGTTTTATAGATAATTGAATGCCTTTAATATATTTGCAGGAATTGAGGATTAACTGACACTTAAAAATGGAGAATATGGGCTGGAAAAAGTGCCTGAGATAGTTAAAAATTTTTAAGTATTTTTATTTCATTTCTTTGAATTTGTTAAAATACGAGCTTTAAATATACTTTGCTTTTCTCATTTCCAACGAGTTTCATAGTAACTAGTTAGGTGATAACCATTCTTTACCCAATCTAATAGTTTTTCCAAATGGCTTACTCAGTAGAATCATTAATAAAATTCTGGTCATTGAAAAAGTATAGTGGTAAATTCTCCACTTTGACTACTTTAGTAAAGATGAGATTGCTGTGTTAGATCAGTAGTTCTGTAAGTAACTGCCCTATGGAATAAGCTATTACAGAATTCTGAATATGAGTGTCTGTTAGATGTGTCTACGTTCTGGGTCAACCACCCCATAGTAATTGCTTTAATCACACAAAACAGGTATGAGGATCATGAGGGGGTCAAATTGTCTATAGTTTCTTTCTTAGATGGATATTGTGAAATGTTGTTTCAGGTTAATCCATGGTAAGAGTAACGATTATGTCTGTTGTATATACTTGTGATTTTAGTTGCAGCAATGAGTAGATAAGCAGAGATAGTAGTTGTTTTGAATCAAAGCCCACACCCTGAAGAGAGTCTTCGTTTTGGATCTTAGCTCACTTAAATCATCTTTGTGACCTCTGGTAAAGTTAACTTCTTTTAAGCCTCAGATTTTTCCTCTTGAGAAGTGGGCTGAGGGGGAGCAGAAGGTGTGATACTAGCAACAGTGCTTCACAGTACACATAGTACAGCAAGCTTACAAAAGGTAGTTGCCATAATAATTTTCTATACAATTGGTAAAAGATAAATTAGATAATCATAACCGCTCTTAAACTATAACCTTAGGTTTAGAGCTGTCTTTTTTTCTTTTTTAATGCTTGGAAAGAATCTTTCAGTCTTAGTGTTTACCAGCTTTTATCATGTGATGATCTGCTTCTCTTTCACAGGTAGTTTAAATCCCTCATGCAACTGTGAAGATTGTGTTCTACATAAAGTGCCTTTAGCTCTTGGGTGGCCAGTCATTCTTTTTTTACAGACCAAATATCTTTTTCTCTGAAAGTATCATATCTTATTTCTTAATCATTTATCATCTTGATTGCTTTTTTTAACCCACCTATAGTAGTGGCTTGAAAGCTTTTATGTTGAAGTCTCCAAAGTTGAGGGTTTGTATGTGTTTTAGGTAATAGAGCTCAAGTAGCATGCATAGGTTTACTGAGCTGCCTGGTTTTTTGGTTTTGTTTTGTTTAACATAGCAAAAATGTTGTTCTACTTAGTATCAGCACCCAGTTTATCTTAATTGTTGATTTTCTTGGGTGAATCTCAAGATTTGGAAATCATTGTAGAACTTTTTGAGGCTTTTTACCAAACATTTAAAAATTCTTGAATCTATTTCACTTAATGACAACAGGGTCTTCTAGGAACTTTTAAATTTTTAGTAAATTCTTTTACTATTAAGAAGGCATCTTATTGTGTACCACTTTTATTTATATATGTGTGTTTGGCTTTTTTTCCCCTTGATTCTCTTTTAGTGACAAAACATAAAGGTACTGAGAAAAGAGAGTCCCCTTCACCAGCACCGAAGCCTAGAAAAGTAGAGTTATCTGAATCAGGTAAGTTTTGGTTTTGTTTTGTTTTGTAAGGTGATTTTGATTTTTTACACATTTCATCATCCCTGCTGCTTAAAGATTAATTATATAGGATATGGCTTAGCAAGTAAGAACTAAGACACTCAAGTTAGACAAACCTGGTTGGAATCCCCAGCTCCACTTTTAACTGCTTTTGGTTTGTTTTAGTTATTTAATCTATCTGGGCCTTATTTCTTTTATCTCTGAAATAGGGATAATATAGGTTTTTGACAGTTAATTGAAGTAATACTTATAAAATGCTCGCCACCCAGCCTGACCTGTAATAAGTGCCTAAATAAGTTTATTTTGATTATATTTGATGAATATAGTCTAAGTCAACATTTAGATTGGCATTATAAACTTTGTAAAAAAAATTGTAGTTATATTGCTTGATCCAACCAGATGAAGGTTGAAAGGCTATTTTCCTATTCAACTGTCAAATTTTCTATATGTATGACTAAAGAAACACTTTCTAAATGCATCCATCTTTCAGAAGAAGATAAAGGTGGCAAAATGGCTGCAGCAGATTCTGTGCAGCAGAGACGCCAATACAGACGACAGAACCAGCAGTCTTCATCTGGTATGGACACTGATGATGTTTTTTTCTACCTGTATTTCCTAAATTAAAAAAAATACTTAAGATGCAAATATTCATCAGTGTATAACGAGTATACTTAAGAGGAATAATATATTTGTGCCTACAAAGAAATCTGTTGGGGCAGGGTTTAAGTCCTTTCTTAAAACTTAATTTTCTATTAAATTGTTATAAAAGCAATAGATCCTTAAAGTACAATAATAAAACAGATAACAGGGGTATAAAGTTGGTGAAGTATAATTTTTTCCCAACAGCCCCATTGTAGCCCCCCCCAGCTTTTATTCAGAAATTTTCTGTGCATATAACAGCATCTGTGATTAAAAGGGGTCAAAAATAAAAACCCACAGAAGCCCAAGCTAGATTTTGTTACCTCCCTTAACTTAATAGCATATCTAGAATATCTTTCCCTGTTCTTGTAAATCTACCCCATATTATTGCTAGTTGCAACATTTAGCCAGTCACCTATTTGGCGGACATGTAGGTTATTTCTAGTTTTCTTGTGTACTTATGCAAATATATCTATAAAATAATAATTGGAGTTGTTGGATTAAAGACCGTGTGCACAGAGATCCGATTTTTAAACCAGTTGCTCTGTAGCTTGTTTGGTTATCTGTGACTGAGCCTGGGCACTATCCTTGGTTTATGTTTGTGAAATGGAAAACAAACCATCCCACAAGAGCATTAAAAGAGGAGTAAGAATCAAGTAATTGCTTGCAATGTTTTTTAAGCTTTACTTAGTTATTTGGAAAATCATTAGACTTCTATCATTTTGGTTGGATCATACTGTGGAAATGATTTGTATAATGAATATTTATTTATGCTTGGCTTTGAAGTCATTGAACATTTTTTTTTTAATTAAAAAAATTTTTTTCCTTTTTTTTCCCCTTGATTTCCATGGTACATTGAACATACTGATATTGACTCTGTTCAGAACTGATGGCCAGCCTACATGCTTGTGTACATATAGTGAACACTACATCCACTTATATTCAGAAAACTTGGACAGACTCAAGCACCAATGTAATATAATTTTTTCTTTATTGTGTAATTATAGACTCTGGTTCCTCCTCATCATCAGAAGATGAACGACCCAAGAGATCCCACGTGAAGAATGGTGAGGTAGGCAGGCGGCGGAGACATTCCCCTTCCCGGAGTGCCTCTCCATCACCACGAAAGCGCCAAAAAGAGGCTTCCCCTCGGTAATGTCTTTTCTTCAGTGATCTTCACTGATGTTCTGTAGTTGTGATGAAACTTCATAAAGGATGGGCTATGGGATTATTAGATTTATTTTGGTTTTTAGGGAAGTTTTGTTTTGGTTGTTGTTTTTTTTTTTTTCTTTTCCCCAACCCCCTGCCCCAGATCTTGGTTGTTTTTTTGTATATCTGTGTGGGGTTTTGTTTTGTTTGGCTTAGTGGTTATAAATTATTTAATGATAACTGGGTAAATTGTGAACTGCCATGTCATGTGTACATAACTAGAAGAATAAACCAAACAATTAAATCATTGCATTAACTCCTGAACGTGTTTGAACACTTAAAAATATCCCTGTTAGTAGTATTTAACTCCATCAAAGTAAATAATTTAGTGAATGGAATTCTTGACATTTGTTTTTCTCCACTGCTCTCAGGATGCAGATGGGAAAGCGATGGCAATCGCCAGTGACTAAAAGGTTGGTTAGACACTATGTAAATTAGGGTTATATGTCAAAAGTTTTGGTGACTTAATTTCCTGTTTAGTTGACCATGTCCTATTCTTAGATAAACAGTGGCTGTGAAGTTTCTAAATTGTTTTGGTTTGATTTTTTTTTTCTTTACACATCAAATTAATGATAGGTATATTTGTACATGAGATGTTCATTTTAGAGCCTCATTTGAACTTAGATTTTTATTATCTGGTTACTGCTCTTTGGTGATAATTTGTGCCAGCTTACTTGAATTAAGGGGCACAGTTTTAACAGTATCTGGATACTTCTCAAGAAATAGGATAATGGCTCCTTAGATATTATGGGAGAACTTTGCATTTGTGGTAACTTTAGAGAAGCAAGAAACTAGGGAGAACTTGTAAATAAAGTACATTAAGGCTTTGGTCCTGTTCTGTCTTTCCAGTAGTAGAAGTTGGGTTACATGTCTTCATTGAAACTTTTGATCATTAGTTATCTACGTGACCACAAAACCGTAACAGGCCACGGGGGGTAGAGTTTCATTGGGTCGCAAAGTGACAAAGTCAGGTTTAGACCATACTCTTGACATTACCTATTCTTGTCTTAACCGCTTTCTACTTTTGAAGGCCTTAACTGCCACTACATTTCTAAGTATCCTTGCAGAAACTATCCCACTGTACTCTTTATACCTCAGTTTTTGAGGCTGTGTTGTTTCAGGTAATCTCATTAATAAATGAGTGTTTTCTTGGAAAGGCCCTTTGGGACCATGAGTAGTGTTTGTAATGGAACAAAGAAGTGGAGGAAACTGACAATAAAAATAAACCTAAAAAAGATAAGTTTGTGTGCTAAAGTACTCCTTTCTCAGCTGTAATCACCTTTGGCTTCTGTGATGCTAGCACAGCAGCTAAATATTAAGTGCTTTACAGCATTAGGTTATTGATACAGTTTCTTCTCTTTGATTGACTTACCCCACCTTCCCTTATGAACTACTTTCTATTCTGGAAAGAGATCTCTTTTCTCAGAGCGTGAAATTAACACTAATGTTTATTGCCCTGCTCCATGGTTTGATTTTGTTTCTCCTCATTAAAAAGTATTTTAAGTTGTACTGTAGCTTCAAGTTTGATGCCGTTAGAAATTGCCATCAGGTGTCTAGGATTTAGAGCTGGAGGAGAATTATTTGGAACTGTGCTTCAGTGTCCTGTCTTTGGAGGGGAAGTATAGCCTGGTTTCAACATTTTATATGTAAAGTGTTCAAAGTGAAGTCTTAGTTACCCAAAAGCATAGCAAACAAATTGAAAATTAATTTAGTAGTGAATTTCAGGATTTTGTCTTCAGTTAACAAGCTTTTCTTACTTTCAAAGGGGAACCAAGCCTAGTAAACTTTGGAAAATAATTCCAGGATGCATCAATCCTGCCCTAGGCAAGAATTAAGAACCGATTATTTGACTATTTTGCATATGTAAGTTTAGCCAAGGTGGCAAACCAGTTTGGTTATATTTTAGGTATTTCTGTTGTGGGCTGCTATTAGTCCAGTTGACATAATATTTTTCAGGTGTGCTTTTTGTGTTGATTAAATGTTTACGGGTGCAGAATTAGGTTTATATAGTTCTCATATACATTTAACTGCATTATTCCAAGTAGTGCTCAAACAACTTTGATCATTTTTCTTGAGATATAGTGTATTTTGGTAATAGTATGCAACTTTTGAATAGTGGAGATACATCAAAAAATTAAAAGCTTGGAGCAGTGACACCAGATTTGGGTTATGTTAGCCACTGGACTATTGACATTTTAAATGTTTGTATTAGAGGCTCTACATATTTGATTCTTAACAATCGCACCTGTAGAATCTTTCAAAACACCTCTGCTCTTAGCCCAGACCTGGTGGACATATTATCTGGTGGATTTATATCTCAGATAAGCTTCCAGGTGATTCTGATTTGCATCACAGTTAAAAGCAGTGATCTCAGGTAGTGTTTTTCGAACTGTTTTCACCTGTGTCATGTTAGGATGTTTATGTCATAAACATAGTATATGCTTATATGTCTGAACAAAAATTTCTCAAAACAATATTTACAAATAAACACTTTGATTATATTACTTTTTTAAAATGTTGGCTCCATCCAGATTCAAAATGAATAGGTCTTGAGACCTGTAGTTTTGAAAAATACTGCTCTTCTTGAAACTGTCTTTCCGGTCACTTAATTATAAGTGTCACTGACTCAGAAGTACTCTAATTCTTCTTTGGTTTAGTGGTAGACGGAGGAGAAGTCCTTCCCCACCGCCCACTAGAAGGCGACGTTCACTTCCCTGCTCCTCGCCTCGAAGCGCAGGTCTCCTACACCAC